TGTGATCCTGTGTAGCTGGTGGCTCTCGAGATGCTGATTTGTTTATTGCACCTTAATTGTTCTTGGGCCTTTATAACGCATGGTGCTATCCGTTTCCCCAGGAATATGTTTATGCAATCGACGTATTTTTGGTTATTATACGTGTGTCTAGTAAGTATGAGCATTTTTGGCTCGATGGGTATTCCCATGTAGATTTATTATGGGTGGATAGGGTGGCACGCTGCCACGGGTATGATGTTTGGATCGGACTGCACGCCGCAACAGTGAGATATTGAGTACGGTTCCTTATACTTATTTTGTGTGTCTTATTTCTCATCTTTGAGATAGATTCATAGCATTTGTTTGGTTGTTTTATTCGTTATGTGGACTGAATAGTTCTATACCCGAGTTTATTTTTCTTTATTGGTCATATTCGAGTTGTGGATTATTGGTGCATTGATGGCGTCGAATGAGATTTAGACGGTGTTTGAGGTGGCTTATTACCCGAGCAGCTTGTACTGGGTGAGACGAGGTTGCTGGACTTGAAATCAGTGCAATTGCATTTATATAATATATATTGGAAGGAAAATGTCACTAATAAGTTCAGAATGAGGTAATGGTTCTTGTCGAGCGGAAAGACTCCACGAGTTATTGATTTGGCGGGTAGTTATGAGTTTTTATACATCTCTTTCATCATTGCAGTATTGCAAGGGTTGGAACAAGGCTTGTATATGTTATGAGGTACATTACGGACACTAGGTTCGTAAATTGCAGGTATTGTGGTTGGAGGGTGTTACTATGGGAAAATAAATTATGCGGTGCATTGTGTGATTACAGCATGTGGGTATGATCATGTTTTAGTACAGCTTGTCGAGATTGATACGATGTACGTATGCTGGAATCGCACATTATAGAGAATTTTGGATGTTGGGACTTGGTTATAAGACTCGTGGGCTAAGGTAGCAGGAAGGATCTTCAGTCTAGGTTGAACTAATGCGCTCATATGGATTGTGGAAGCACGAGTAGGTGCACGAGGTGTTATAGTGATTTTGGCGACTTTGTAACGGTTCTTGGCACGTTTGAGGACGAATGTATGTTTAAGTGGGAGAGAATATAACGACTCGACCGGTCGTTTTGAGTTCTAGCATGTCGCTCGGTAGTTTGAGACCTTGATTAGCTTCACATCATGCATTACGACTTGCACGTGTGGTTGGGTTTGATTTTCAAGAAGTTCGGAGTTGATTTGAAAGAATAAATCTTAATTCGGAAGCTTTAAGTTGGAAGAGTTAACCAAGGTTTGACTTTTGAGTAGACGATTTCAGAGTCGAGATTTGAAGGTTTCTATAGGTTCCTAAAGTGATTTCGGACTTAGGCATATATTCGGGTTGAGTATCGGATAGTCCGAGAGCAATTTGGCGCTTATTATCAGAAGTTTGCATTTTTGAAGGTTTGAAATTTGCTAAGTTTGACTTTGAGTGTACTTTGATGTTATCGGACTCCGGACAGTGTTCGCGAAGAAGGGCGCCTGGGTATATTATATATTAGCCAAGTCGGAATTTTCTCATTTCAATTTATTTCTCCCTTGCTTGGGCGATTTTTGGGCGATTTGAGGAGTCATTTTCGTCATCTATCATGAGGTAAGTTATTTTTTCACTTGTTGTAAGTTAAATACATGGAGTATATATGGATTTTAATATGAAAATTGGTAAAAATTATGAGATTTTGGAAGAAAACCTAGAAATGGTAATCTTGAATTTTGACCATGAAATTGGACATGAAATTAGGAATAAATTATATATTTGAGTTCGTGATGTTATGGGTAATATTTATCTTCGAGAATTTTTGGAATTCGGGCGCGTGGGCTCGGGGGTTGACTTTGTTGACTTTTCTAGCAGAGTTGGAAATTGTTATAAATTGTTAAATTACGAGTCTTTGAGTATATTTTGATTGGTTTGAACGTTGATTGACTAGTTTCGGATCGTTTGGCATTAGTTTGAGGAGTTAGAGTGGCATAGGAGCCGGTTATCGGAATTCAGAGCATGATAAGTCTCTTGTCTAACCTTGTGAGGAAAAATTTACCCTATATGTGCTACGTGTTATGGGAGCTACACACGTATGAGGTAACGAGTGTCCATGCATATGCTAGAATTCCTTACTATGTCCGGATAGAATTAGACTCACGCCATGCTTTAATTGTACTATTTGAGTTAATGCTTTAATTCACATTATAACTTGAGACTAGACTCGTGTAGAGTAATGGACTTGTTATTTTTAGATACTTGACGAGCTACTTGATTAGCCGTAGAAGTTGTACTTCCTTTACGGATTCCTCCCGTGCTGTGCGTATTCATCGGAAGTTTTCTTGAATTTCATAACTCATACGTATATTCGTGAGTGGGGTCAAGGACTCGTTAAAGTTTCATATTCTAATGGGATCGGGCTGAATGCCTCAGTAGTAATCTTATGAGATGAGGACGTTCGCCTCGACAGTATGATGTAACATATTCTTATAGGATCGGGTTGTTCGCTTCGGCAGGATTATTGTAGCACACTCTTATGGAATCGGGCCGCTCGCCTCAGCAGAATCGTGCGTAATATTTGGTAAGGAAGTCAGTGTACCCGTGAGTTTTCCTGACTTGAGATGTGACATTTTATCTGATGTATCCGGTTACTAAGGACTTCGTGTTTATTCTTCTATTGAGGATCGTATTATGCACTTTATATCTGCTTCGTTGTTTTACCTGCTATGCCTCATATCGGTTACTTTCATCATACATGATTTATTGGACCACTAGTAAGTGTCGATGTCGACCTCTCGTCACTACTTTTTTGGGGTTAGGTTAGATACTTACTGGGTACGCGTTGATTTACGTACTCATGCTACACTTTTGCACTAATGTGCAGGTACTAAGGCAGGTTCATTCGGAGGTTATCTTGGCACATAGGCGCAACTACGGAGGGAAAATTATGGTGAGCTGCATTCCATGTTATGATCTGCAGCACACAAAGTCTCCCTCATATTCATTTATTTTATCCTGTCTATTTTTATATTCCAGACAATTGTTATAGTAGTATTGTATATTTCAATAGATACTCATGCACTTGTGACACCGGATATTGAGAATTTTTAGTGGATGTTCATAGTTATATTTAATATTATTATTATCACTTCATTTTATGATTTATTTATACTCGGAAGTTTGGTAAAGAAAAGAACATGTTTCTATGAGTGCTGGATTTAATTCTATTTATTTAAGAAAATTTCTGATTTTTATGAATTAAATGGATAATTAAGTGGAGGGTCATGCGTTGGCTTGCCTAGCAACATTGTTGGGCGCCATCACAACTTATTATGTGATTTGGATCGTGACACCTAGCAATCCAAGAAGATGAAATGTATCAGCAAAGTTCAAAATTCATATATTAATAGAAGCAAAAATATGCTAAGGTTTTTCGTATGTCTAACTCTTAATGGACAATGTTATTCGCAAAACAATGCAAAATTAGTCCGGACAACATCTTTATGAAAAACAATATTAAATTAAAGCTTGCTGGCATTAGTACTGAAAAAATCCAATTAACTTACTACAATCCACATATTTATTAGTATGATATGATAGATTTTAGAGAAAATGGCCAAAATATACCCCTGAATAATTCAAAATAGAATAACTTTACCCTGTATTTTTTCTTTTTAAAAAAATACCCTCTACTTTAGTCAAGTAACTCAAAAATTTCCTCCCACTAACAACTTGTTTGGATTGTTGTTATATGTCGTTTCATAATGTATTATATTATATTGTATTGTATTGTATTGTATTATTTGATAAATACAATGTTTGGATAGATTGTATCGTTTGTTGTTTCATGATATCACATACTAATAATATGAAGAATAAACTTGCAATATTACTAAAAAAAAATAGGATACGGGATGAATTATTATATAAAAAAGTAAGGTAAATGATAAAATATAATTATTTAATAATAAGAAAGGTGTAAGATGAGAGAGAAAAAACAAGGAAACGATGCCACCAACCAAATTCGTCGTTCCATAAAATGAAACTTTTTGTCATTACGTAACGATGAATTTAACGAAACGATACGATATAATAAAATTTAAATAATAATCAAAACAAACATCATATTTAAAGTAACAATACGATACGTTACAATATATAACAGTCATCCAAACAAGCTGTAACGGTTGCTCCGGAACAAAAGAAAAAGAGCCAATTTTCCCTAGAGAAATGATGCAATTTGCCCTCCATTAGGGTGCGGATAAGTGCTCCTGATTATAAAGATTTGAGCAAAAACTTATATTGGAGATTAAGAGATTACTTTAACTATTTTTAATGATTCTTTTATACACTGTCAATTTTATGCAATATAAAGTTTAATTACCAACATTAATTTATCAATTAAATAGTTATTCTACTTTCCATTCGAAAGTGTTATACCCTCGACTCAAAACTAGGATGACATAAAGTTACAATAAGTAATATATTAAGGTATAACAGAATTGAATTTCTTTTATCATATCATTCTTAGACTTAGTAAGATAAATCTATCATTATTGGTGTAAGAAAATAAATCTTAAAATAGTTATGTAAGAAAAGGTCAATTATTTGGAGTTCAGAAAGAATAACTCATGCCAATGCGTAAGGAACCAGAAGAAAAAGAATAGCTACATGTCATCGTTTCTTCTTTGTTAAAACGAGAAGGATTTATACTACTCTTATTTTCTTATTTTTGTTGTTATACATTTCTAGCACATTTAAATTCCCCTCCACAAAGATAAAAAGAACAAGGGCAAAATTGTCTCATTTCGAGAATTAGCCTTTTTTCCGTTCTGAAAAGGATATTTTTGAGCTATTTGGCTAGTTGAGAGTGTACATTTTAAGCTAATTGACTAATGAGGAGGGTATTTTTATGTCAAAAAGGCAAAAACAAAACAAGAGCAAAATTATTCTATTTCAAATATTTCTGTAGTATTTTTGTGCATATTGATTTTAAAAAAATATACATCCTAGTTAAAGAAGGAACGGGAAAGCATATGCAGTTATTCTCTTCAAATCAAATGCACAAAATTCTAGGCCTGGAAACTTCCAATGATTTGTTGATGATTTCCCTCTTCCTATTTACAGTCGTCTCGTCTCCTTCCTTGTATAGTTTGTCAATCTCCTCCCTCCACCTAAACCCCAAGAAAGAGAGAACGAGAACTAGTGAGATGAGCTCACCTGGTCGATCTCGAGGAGGAGAAAAGGAACAAAGAGCAAGGACTTTTGACACTGAAGCGAAGAAGATGTGCTGGGCCAAGGCCGAGACTGTACCCGGTCGACATCCCGAACGCTGGCGCAAAGATTCCGCCGGAAATGTCGTCTGTAAACGCTTTGCCAATTGTCAAGGCTGCCTTTGCTTTGAATATGACCACATTATTCCCTTCTCCAAAGGTTCCTCCTATTTATTACGACTAGTGTTTGCTAGCACAACTGTTCTACATATTTCCCTTTTTGCCTTTATTTCCTTATTTTTAGCTGATTATCTGATTAGCCAATAGAGGCCGGATTTGAACTCTATGGGTTTGATTCCGGGATTCTACTACTGTACAACTCATTTGATTTACTGATTTCGAAATCAATCATTTGTACTTGTTTAGTTATTTTTTTTAACACATACACAAGGTACGAGCCAAAGTTTTGCATTAACCCATAAATTACACTCTATGTCTGCCCCTTATACCTGACCTTGACTAGTTTGTTCCTGAATATTCCGTCCTCAATTTGGGATTGAGGATTAGTTGATTGTTTATTATTGTCAAAGTGAATCATTACTGCGCAAGCAAAATGAGTTGGACTCGGAGTTGATACATAGGATTCATGTGGTCAACCCTAGCTAGTTTGGAATTGGGGCTTTATTGATACTGCTCAAGTGGAACAAACTAAGCGCGAATCGAGCGGAATGGATATAGAAGATTCATATAAACGAACTAGTTTGGAATTGAGAGCAGGGGCGAAGGTAGATGCCCGAATACGGGTTCGGACGAACCTAGTAACTTTTACTCAAACAGTATATTTCTATTGAGAAATTCATTAAATATGTACAACTATTAAATTTAGAACCTAGTTGAAGTCGTACTAAAATTAAGAACCCATAAAGTTGAAATCATGGCTCCGCCTCTAAATTTGAGGGGTAGTTGATTCTATTTTCACCTAAATGTAATGAAATGGACCTTAATAATGGGCAACTTCAACAATTGGGATTGAGGGGTATTTGATTGTTTGATTGATCTGATTCACTCCTAAACTGATTTTGGTTTTTTGTTGTTTAGTGATTTTAATCATTTGGACCGAATATTAACTGATGAAAAATCCTGCTGCTTTTTTTTTTTTTTTTTTGCATCTGGTGGTTGGGCGGGAGGTGTGAGTTGGGGCCATTGAATTTTGATTTGGTGGTCAGCACATGGTTGTTGCACCATTTTATGATGCGTTTCCTTATGCAGGGGGTGAATCGATAGCGGAGAACTGCCAGATCCTTCAAACAAGGGTAAACAGGCTTAAAGCCAACAAGGATGAGATTGATATTAGTCAGTTAAAAAGCTACTCTTGCGATATCAAGTTCACTGGTACTCTCCTGATCTTTCCCTATTTGTTCTGCTTCTATCACTTGTCACATTATCAATCTTTATGGCTTCTGAACTTAGCCCCTACAGTGGAGAGCTGTGAGCTAAATAATAGTTCTGTTCTCCTGTAGCCTCTTAAGATAAAAAGTGCATCATTTCCGTGGTAATTTCAAAGTTTAAGTCATTGCCTGATCTCTATCTGGATTACAGGATTACTACTGATTGATATGCTATGATGATCTTATTGACGTCTGGAATTGAAGTTTAGTTATAGTAGTTGTAATATTTTATTTTCATGGCGGTTCTCAGGTATTCATGTGTTTTCAGGTTTAACAAGATAATTTGACACAGTTCATAAATGGATATATAGAGGTACAATCAGTTAATATAGGATTTGGTTTGAACCACTGCTGCTGTTGCGGTATTTGGTTTGAAACTAAGTTGCATTTTCATGGTTGTCATTGTGATGGTTCTTGTGGGGATGTCTTGCTCAGATTAATGCTTTTCCACTCTCTTGGCCCATGTAAGGTCTCATTCTGATAAAATATTTCATCAGAGGGGCAGTATGCATGCGGTCACATTAAGATTAATCTTTTCTGTATATCTTTTTGTCTCCTACAGCCAGCAGTAGATGGAGAAGGTTTTTGGTTTAAAGTTGGTTTCTGAATCCAAATAAAAGTTTGGTTAGAATTCAAGTCCTAGTTCTCGTCGCATAACCTTAGTGAGAAAGCATGATGTGAAATCAAGAGAAGCTTTGCAGCAGAACACAAGTAATAGAACTGTTTTTCTTTTGTGCAAATGTGGATGTAGACATTTCTTCCCAAACTACGTAGATCTTATCTTTTTGAGATTATTCTTGATAATCTAGGTCCTAACAGAGATAAGATTTTGCCCTTGTAGAAGATCAAGCAAAGAGCCTATGATTCGTCCACCTAGAAGGGTTCCTTTGTCATGTTAGCTAGGCATAGCCTAAATACATATAGAAGTTCTTTATCTTGGTAGATGCTGCCTCACTTCCTCAGAGTTTGATCCCTGCTATATCAGCCGTGCTACCATCTCTATATAATCTTCTCACAAAGGATAGAACCAATAACGTTTGCATGGCTCTTCCAACTGGTTAGACCCCTTTCTGAAGTTGTGCCAGTCTTTCCCCTTCATTTATTTTCCGGACTCTATATTCTGCTGTTTCTCAATAAGTTATTACAGAACTTACCTTGTGACACAACAGCTTAGGCAACTTCAGATTATGGATCTGGTAAGTGGTGAGTTTCTTTTTTCTCTTTTTTGTGGATAAGGTATAATGGAACTGTTTAGGACTGAGGTGCAGTTGTTGTTAGATAAGGTATAATGGAACTAGTAAGTATAGAGGGCCACTAATACCTTCTTCTACACAATTAGTGCAAATAGAGATATTCTTGTCTGAGAGGTAACCTGTGGAGACTAGTCAATAGTATATGGTATAAGATTTTCTATGAAATCTAGCTGAACGTCACCAACCTTAAGGTCCATTAAAATGTGTAATTGCTTAAGCCATCCTTTCCAACTTCGCACATAATTGGGCATATAAATTTGTATACTTCCTGCATGATCAAATTTTTTGCAGCAGTAACATTTTACTAATATTTACCATGTAACTTGGGTCACGCAGATAAGGAGCTCGATGTAATTGAAATGGCTGTTTATGGGGATGTTATCCGCCCTGGAAACCAATGTCGTTGTAGAACTGTTGCAGAACTGCTAGGCCAATACAAGTCAAAGGATCGAGCTGCTCCCTGCAAGTTACCATAGGCTGATGAATCCTTATAGCAAAGGGTAGGCATACATTTCTCCAACTACGCCTCAGTCCCATACAAATTGGGTAGGCATACATTTCTCCAACAACTACGCCTCAGTCCCAAATAAATTGGGTGGGCATACATTTCTCCAACTTCAATATTAATTTTCCAGAAGTCATTAATTTGTTGCATTTCAAAAGCTTAAAGTAGAGTTTAAATTTTTATGTAGTTCAGCAGTCTATTGAGTGGATTGTTGGTAGCCTTGGTGGATAACTGTTGTCACATTGTGAACCTAAGTGTCGCGAGTGAGTCTCAATGACATAAGGCAAATAATTCTAAAGCCATTTGCAACAGCAGATCGTGTTTCGTGACCTTCCGATTCCTTAAGATGGATTCGTATAACAGGATTCATATAGCTAATCCTGACCAGTTCATAGAGAGTCTGTTAAACCTGAAAGCACAGACCAGCAAACTTGTTTGTTTTTTGTGTCTCTTCTTCAAGTATTACTACGTGATGTGGGTTCAGTTTAACCATTTGGCTTCAATCATGAAATACAAGGAAAAAAATAAGCCCAAACACTCTACAACCTAATGCGTTCCTCTAATGGAGAGAATTAGTTGTAGCTACTTTTTATTGCATGTTGAATACCGAATACCTAATCCAAGAAACATGCTATTATTATTTTGAGGGTAGCTGTCTACATTATTACTACTAATTATTTCTGGGGACCTATAGCTCCTTTTATGGAGGTTTTCCAAATCAACCTGCAAAATTAAATAAAATTCATGTATCTTGGTACCTTGATGTACGATATATACATCATATACTGGGAGAAGTGATACATACTATTCGTCTACAAAATAATTTAATAAATACTACTTACCAACATTCTGTATTAACACCCAACCACATAAATTAACATGGTTATATGATAAAGTGAGGTGAGAATATATAGTGATTAACCGTGAATAAATAATAAAAAGTATATCTATGAGTACATACAGGAACTGCTGCTGAATAATTAGACTGATTGATAATGCTTGTCCAATGAGACTCTAGAGTCTAAAGTGATCAATCATTCATAATTATGTTTCAAAAGTTGCTTTAACCACAGTGCTACTAATTAGATAAGTCAAAACTTCCAGTTGCCCACCCTCAAAGAACAACAGTGTTTATTACCTTTTAGACGCATAACAACAACAGTTTTCATTACCTTTTACACGCGTAATAACTTGTGTTATTACGTTCCGTGAGTGCATAGTATCATCGCATCTACAACGCCTATTTTGACATTAGGTGAAATTCCGGGGTGTGATAGATGAATGAGATTCTTCCATCGTTAACTAAAAGTCTCGAGTTCGAGCCGTGGGAATAAAAAAATATTTAGCGGGAGCATGCTCCCTTTTAATGGGCCCAACACGAATTTGGATTATTTGGACCAGTAAATACAAGATCCTAGATAATTATGTGAATCTGCCCTGGCTCATTGTTGTTGTGTTGTTTGCCCGCTTATGGAAGTCTTAAACTTGGTATCACCTAATTAACTTTTCAGAGAAATGAACCTGCCCTTGCTGTGATTCATGCAATGGGTTTTTCATTTATAAATGCCAAATATGATAAAGTAGGTAGCTAATCAGTGATCCTACGTAGTATATAAATGGTCCCAACTGTGAACAATAAAAGTTAATCACTTTCTTCATAATCTCAAGACCCAACCTCTAACCCCACACCCCCGTTTGCGGGGCGGCCCAACTTCATCGGAGGCCTAAAACAAAATCTTAATAAGAGGCCTTAATATATATATATTATTTAATGAACATCATTTAAAAAAAAAATTAGACAAGTGAGGATGTGGAATTAAAAAAAATGAGAACTTGATTTTATAAAATACAGAAAATTAAATGAATTTAATATTGATTGCATCACAACTGAAATGGGAGAACCCAGAAAACATAAGTGACTCCTCTTTTTTAGTAAGTCCCTTTCTATATTTGGTAACAATTCAACTTTAGATTTTTTTTTTTACCATTAATGAGACGATTTCTAACCCAAAAACTTCTATGATTTATTTAAGATTACAAGTTTCAAAAGTCTTCCTTTATTTCATAAAATCCATGTCCAGGCAAACACTTTCATATAAATTGGGACGGAGAGAGTATAATTTATGTAAGAAAAATAAATAATAAGTTAGATTATTAGATATAGTTACGTGACTAACTAATGAATAGAGAAATATAATTAAGTAAGAAAGTAAAATAAGATTGACAGAAAACTATTTTAGTTATATTAATTAGAGGAAGAAATCTAGTTATTAAAAATTAATATGACAATAAAGAAATAAATTTATCAATAATAAAAGATAATTATATAAATAATATACTACTATATATAGAGAACTACTAGTAATTTTGGGGCCCTTAAATATTTGGGGTCTAAAGCAAGTGTTCACTTGCTTTAGGGTTGGGCCGTCCATGCCCGTTTGTGTGTGGCTAGTTAGATTCTTAAATCGGCAAATGGCCAAATATACCCCACTACTTTCGAAAATGGTCTAAGAATACTCCTCGTTATACTATTGGGTTATCTATACCCTTGCAGTCATACTTTGGGTTCAAATATGCCCCTCATTTAAACGGAGGGACACGTGGCATCGTCCTGTTGGTCAATTCTAAATCTCTCCTAATTATTTAAAAAGACTCATTACTCATACCCGAAAAATATATTATTTTTTTTTGTAAAAACTGAAAAAAACTATTTTATTTTTTACAAAAAATAGAAAAAAAACGATTTTTTTTTTTCAGTTTTACAAAAAAAAATGCTTTAAAAAAACTGAAAAATATTTTCTAAAATAATATTTTTGTAAAAACTGAAAACAAAACTGAAAAATAATTTTCTAAAGTAATTAAAAACTGAAATATTTTAAACTAAAAACTGGAAAAAAAATATTTGTTTTCTCAGTTTTTACAAAAAATATTGCTTTAGAAAATTGCTTTTTAGTTTTTTTTTTTCAGTTTTTAAAAAAATATTGTTTTAGAAAATATTTTTCAATTTTTTAAAGCAATATTTTTTGTAAAAATTGGAAAAAAATATTTTCGTTTTTTTCAGTTTTCAGTTAAAAAAAAGAATCTGTTTTTTTCAGTTTTTACAAAAAAAAATTGCTTTAAAAAATTGATTTTCAGCTCTTTTCTTTTCAGTTTTTACAAAAATATTATTTTAGAAAATATTTTTCAGTTTTTTCTAAAGCAGTTTTTTTTGTAAAAACTGGAAAAAAAAAATTCATTTTTTTCAGTTTTTAGTAAAAATAATTTCAGTTTTTTTCATTTTTACAAAAAAAAATTGCTTTAAAAATTATTTTTCTGGTATGGGTAATGAGTCTTTTTAATTAATTAGGAGATATTTAGAATTGACCAACAAGATGATGACACGTGTCCCTCCATTTAAATGAGGGATATATTTGAACCCAAAGTATGAATGCATGGGTATAGATAACCAATAATATAACGAGGGGTATTTTTAAACCATTTTCGAAAGTAAAGGGGTATATTTGACCCTTTACCGTTCTTAAATTGCTTTGGTTTGGAGAAGCTTGGCCAAATAGACTATTATTCTATAATGACGTGTAAGGACAGGTGGAAAGCAAATTATATTATGTAGGCCAGTAGCAATGTGAAGAGTGATTCAAGGGTGGTTCCATTATATTGCATAGAAATATAAAATACTAAAGTAGACACAACAAAAACCATCTTTGACAAGAAAAACAACACAGACCAGGATGAAATTTGCAAGTCAATGGTCAATTTTGGAATTTTTTGGTCATCTATTAAGTTGATTAATAAAGTAGTATAGACTAGGCAAAAAAAACTGATTTGGTCAATGAGTAATTGCCAATTAGTCCACTGCCAAAGTACAACCAGACCAAAGTTTTCATGAGGTTCTGGTACTCCAGTACTGAGTTATTTTTCTTCCATAGACAGTAATCATTCTATTCAAAATGGAGTAGAAGCATGCTCTCCAAATGAGTATTGAAAATAGTCTATATCATGACCACAAAGATTCATGATAGGGCAGATCTATGGGTCCACAGGGCTAAAACTACTCCAAAATTTTGGAAAGATGGGTACGCTATTACGAAGAGATAGATTTAGAATATAAATTTTACGAGTTCAACTTTTAGTTCTTGCTATTGCACCCATTATACTTTTAAGTTCTAAATTATTATTTTTTAAATACTATAGTTTCTTACATCTATATTTGTACTCCGTGTCGAAAATATTGGAATCAGATAAACCCATTAACTATATGCTAGATCTTCCATTGCTACTTGATTTTATATAAACATTGTATTTGATCATATAAGATTTTACAATAATAAAAGAAGAATAAGAATTTCAATGTGTGAAAATTTTAAAAGGATAAACCAAACAAAGAAGAAAGAAAAAGAAAAAGTACTTAACTAATACGCAAAAAGTAACATCAACACATGTCCATCTCCCGTGGGCGCCTAGTTCTAGGGAAAAAAAGGAAAAAACAACAAGATTGATACTATAAGATTTGAACTCACAATCTCACTTATTAGAGATGCACCCAATAATCATCACATCATATGATACTTTGAGCTTGGGTACACACATATATTTAAGTATTTTTTTTTTAAATATACATAATCTAGGGAGAAGAGCATCAATTAACGTGCCCTATGGAACCCTTCGTAGATACGCCCCTACTTAAGTTACAAGATTAAGTGAGTGCCAATAAATATTTATTCACACTCAATATTTGTATCAAATTAAATAATTTAATCTTAGCAGTTAAAATATAAACTAAAATAAATATTATTTAACTATAGTTAAGCGATAAAAATATATATAATTTATTAATTTAATTTAATATTTGGATAGATTTTATAGAGTGGTTGGTAGTGAAAGTGCAAATGGTGAACACAAAACACCAGCTAGTAGGATGCAAAGAAAAGCTAATCTCATTGTTTGTTCCCCCTCATTACATCAATATCCACTTTTTGCTTTCTTCTTTTTCTTTCTTTATTCAGCAATTCATCTCCTTTTCTGACTTCGTGTTTGTCCCTTGCATGTCCAGCCCCACGCCTAGAGCACTTAAATAAACAAGAATGGGGCGTGGGGACCACTCCAGTCCCTTCATTGAACCAAAATGTAATTTAATTTTAAACAAATCTACTTATGAATTTTAGATGTGATGAGAAATAATTGGAGTTTTAATCAAATATTTTATAGTTTTTATTGGGTGTGTGAATAAAGTCTCACATTGGTAACTGAAAAGATTGGGAGCCGATATATAAAATATAGGGATCTCTTAATGGTGTGAGCATTTTGAAGAAAAGCGTGTGCGCTTAACCCAAAACGGACAATACCACATATTCTCTAGTGCTACTATTTAAGAATCAGCCAATGTATTCTGAATTTCAGTTATTGAGTTCAAATTTTCGGGACAAAAATGTCCTGAAGTTAAGATTTTTAATTTAAAATTTTAGGATAAAATAAGTACCGACTAATCTCTAAATAACATCCTTGAAAATGACTATTTGTGCATTTACCAACTTGTTGAAAATTAGGTTAGTAAATTTGTTAAACCAAACCACAAAAAATTACTCCTAAGCAAATCTACTTACTCCATCACATGTCACTTCATTTGGCTGGCCCCCACCTTCTCGGACTGTATACTGACCAATCTCCAGCTTAATTCTAAAAAATTTAGCGGGGAAAATAACAAAAATATTGCCAAAATTACCAACAAGACCAGGAGAGTTTCAAATTTCCGCAGTGAATGCTGAGACAAGTCAAAGAGTAGTTGCTCTCAAAAGACTGCAATGCTTACTTTTCTTTGTCATTTGCTTTTTTCTTTTCTTGCCCTCCTTGATTATCTATTAATTCCACATAACCAAAAAAGAAGTTTGGTGATTCCTACTGTTACTATTGAAAAGGCTACAAGTTCTCTTTCTCCCCGTTGATTTCGCTCATCACTCATTCCTATACTGTGATTGTTAACCACATTAAGCTCTTATTTTCCTTGTCCACCTTCCGCAATTGCCGCAGAAAAGAGTTTCGAGGAGGGAGAAAGCTAGAGGGGAGGGGGGTAGTGACTGTGAACTGAGTTCTTGATTCTTGAATATATAAAAGTAATATTTCAATGGTCTTGAGAATCTCCATTGCTGCTTCAGAATTGAACTTGACCCACGTCAAGATTCAGTTAAATGCCGTCTGGGTTGGTCTTGTTTTGTAGTCAAGTGCCACTGTAATGACAGAGACAGATTGAAGATTTGGAGTTAATGAGTTCAAAATGGATGCAATCTAATACTAAACATGTATATACGTACATTGTTTTTTGGATACATATACATAGCTAGCTCGAGTGGAAGCTGTTGTTTCGTCTGCAAATGGCTATATTGACCTCTTTTTGATAGTGTAGAATCATTTATAATTATATTGTCCTTCATGGGTTGTGTGGCCTCGAAACAGACCGTGTCGGTAACCCCTGCATGTGATCAATATTCAGGGACTCTCAGAGAAAATGACGACAGTAGGAGCCATGTCGGCAGTGATACATTAGTATCTGAATTTGATATGACGAATAAGGTGAAGAAGAGAGGGGAATTATCAGGACTAAGTGGAGGCGCGAGCGAGTTAAATGAGTCGGGCAAGGAATATTCTAATGGTGATCAATCAGTGAGTTTGATGAAGTATGTGGAAGGAGAGCAAGTTGCTGCAGGTTGGCCTGTATGGCTTAGTACTGTTGCAGCTGAAGCCATTCATGGCTGGTTGCCTCTCAAACCTGAGTCTTTTCAGAAATTGGATAAGGTTAGTTTCAAAAGAAATGTTCTCTTCTAAGTTCTACCTAGATTTGGTGAGTAGAGTTATCCGGTTCTTGTGGGAGGTAGTGCATGCATACCTAGTTGAGTAGTCGAGGTGTGACCAAACTGTCCATCAATAATATTTCTACATAAGTTTCTTCTTTTTTTCTTTCTTTTTTTGGTGGGGGTTTTGGGGGGAGGAGAGCACATGGAAACTAGGAACAGAAGGGGATGAATGAGATGAAGATAGTAGAGTTTTCTGTTGACGGAATTGATAAAGTTTTAACCTTTTTGTATGACCGCTCCAATTCAAGTAAAACTTGAGGAATATACTCTCTTTACCTTGCAAGTCACTAAAAAGTTAGTCTAGTGCTAGAGTAGCAGAGACTTCGTGTTCTTAAACTTTTGTGGGCATGTTAATAATATTTCTACATATGACATTAAGCTTTCTTGCTGATGAATTTTGTTTTCTTTATGTGGTTTAACTGCTGTAACAGATAGGTCAGGGTACATATAGCAGCGTATTCAGAGCACGCGATCTGGAAAGTGGAAGGACAGTTGCACTGAAGAAAGTGCGATTTGATAACTTTGAGCCAGAAAGTGTTAGATTTATGGCACGAGAAATTTTGATTCTTCGCAGGCTTGACCATCCCAATATAATGAAGTTAGAGGGGATAATTGCCTCCAGATTATCTTCTAGCATATATCTTGTGTTTGAGTACATGGAACATGATATTTCAGGACTCCTGTCCTGTCCTGAAGTCAAGTTCAATGAATCACAGGTTCGTTAGCTTCTCATAGTTAAAGGTATTGGGTGTTTTTGCCCACTCTTCAACCTGATGAGTGCATAATATTTATGTTTGTGCTAAAGATGTGCTGCTTCTTTTGCAGGTTAAATGCTTAATGAAACAGTTGTTATCTGGACTTGACCATTGTCATTCTCGAGGTATAATGCATCGGGATATCAAAGGTGCAAATCTTCTAGTAAATAATGAGGGAATTCTGAAGGTTGCAGACTTTGGATTGGCGAACTTCTCTGACCTTGGAACAAAGCAACCACTAACCAGTCGAGTTGTCACTTTATGGTATCGTCCTCCAGAACTTCTGTTGGGAGCCACGGATTATGCAGCTTCTGTGGATCTCTGGAGTGTCGGATGTGTATTTGCGGAAATTCTTACTGGTAAACCAATTCTTCAGGGGAGAACTGAGGTACCTCCTTTAACACTTGAGGTGAATCCAAATGTTTTCGGAAGATAAAGTGCTTGTCTGCTAACCTGCATCATCAGAATTTTACCTTTTACACCTTTTACTCAATTTCTTGCCTTCGTCCTTGATAACGCGATTTATGTATGTGATTTAGGTTGAACAGCTGCATAAAGTATTTAAACTTTGTGGATCTCCACCAGATGATTACTGGAAGAGATCTAAACTTCCTCACGCGACTATATTTAAACCACAGCATCCTTATGAGAGCTGTCTTTGGAACACCTTTAAAGATTTGCCAAAAAGTGCAGTCTCACTCATAGAAACTCTTCTTTCTGTGGAGCCACACAAACGTGGAACCGCTTCTTCTGCCCTTGCATCTGAGGTAGCGATCCACAAACTATTGAATTACTTGTATATTGTTAGTTCCATGTCATCGGATTCACACCTTAATGATACATTCTCCTATCTCTTCAATGCGCTTTGTTTATTCCTGTTGTGAGCGTCCACTGTGAGTTAAGTCTCAAATCTCAATTCAAGTGAGTTTTGATAACTTGTTGTCATGTTATATTCATCTAAGAACCCAACAATTTGCCACTTCTCTACGATACTTAAATTTCAAGAGTGCTAATTCTTTTTCAAATGATACCTGTAGTATTTCAAGACGAAGCCTCATGCTTGTGATCCTTCAAGCCTGCCAAAGTACCCACCAAGCAAAGAGATAGATGCTAAGCACCTTGAAGATGCAAAAAGGTAAGAATTTAGGTCATATTATGTTACAAAGAGCTTTTGTCTAAATAGTTTACAGCATTTAATTTACATTTAAGGAAAAACATGTGATTAGACAAGAGTGCTTTACCCTGCCCCTTCCTGAATCCCAACTGACCTGAGACAAAGGGAGAAGCAGCAAGTATCCTTTTGAAGTATCATTCTTATGGATTATATAAAAGGTTTGATTATCTCAAATCAAGTCAGTAATTCGGCATAAGCATAACTATTGAATACAATCCACTTATGCTATTGACTCATCCAGCTTGAGGTTCGTCCAAGATAACTTTCAAGTCATCTATGTCTGAACTAGATTCGACTCGAGGATGAGTAGTGAAAAAAAATCAGCCCGATGTATACTCCAAAACCTTTCAAGAGCTGGAACTCACGAATATCAGCCCGATGTATACTCCCTCTCTCTTGGGAGAGAGAAAGAGAACTTAAAAGTGATGCCCCACAGAACGAATTGCTTGCGTACCAAGATTTAAGAGAAAGATTAGGAACTTGGAGTTGCAACTTACATAAAGAATTGCTCACTTACTTACCAAGCCACCTTGACTACCACTCGTCCATTTAGATTGTTCTAGCTTTCTATGACTCAACCAAAAACAGGCAACTTTCCCATTTTCCATGTTGAAACCTTGACATTGAAGAGGGAGGGGAATAAAACTGTATGACTAAAGTTGCACCACTTGATCTGGTAGAATGATCCTTCTGCAGGTTATAATAGATAAAGTCTACTATCTTGCTCTTTGGTGTTGACAAAAGCTCATGCAGTTGATACAGTTTTTAGGAGCTTTGCACAGATCTGACCACAGTTATGATTTCAGGAAGAAGCCAAGTGGAAGAGCCCGTGCACCTGACCCAACAAGAAAGTTAACTAGAAAGCAGAATGGCCTCCGTAAACTAGCACCAGAAGAGGTCCAATTTTTTCCTCTCAACCTTTCACTTCTTAAATGATTCCCAAAGCTGCATGTTACTTTTTAGCAATATTCTTTTTCCTTTCCATATTTATGAGTGCATTTTGCCTTTGGAGACGAAACTAAATTTTCGTTTCTGCAGAATTTGCCCATCCAAAATAAAGGTGCTCATATAAGTGACTGCAATAATGTAACTACTCAAGAAGAAAGAGATACAATAACAAGTCTTGCGCGACCTAAGCCATCAGTTGATATGATGGTAAAGACTTTCCATGTCAAGAATGCATCTCAAGGTGATGTCCCCTTTCCAGGTCCACTTCAAATTTCAGGATCAAGTGGTTTTGCATGGGCAAAAAGAAGGTTCGACGATTCATCAGTAAGATCACGAAGGAGAACTAGTTCGAGAAGCCTTATTTTTGAACATTCAGTTGCATTGCATGTGAAAAATAACATGGACCCAAAAGTACAAGGCAACTGTGAACTTATCAATGCAAATCAGACCAATTCTGTGGGACATGATACCGACGAATCCACCAAGCATGCAATTCGTCAACGTTGGAGCCAATTAGAGCGCCCAGATTCCTTTGATGCTTCTGATGGCTACCATTCACAAGAACTGTCACTGACACAATATCTAAAAGAGGAAACTGCTATCAAGAGAATCAATTTGGTTAGTCAAAAGCTTTTGTCAAGAGTCTTATTTAATAAGCACATTTTCCCTCATCAGTTTATATGTATCGCTCATAACAAAATATACCAATTCTTTTGCACTGGATCTTTCAGATATAACAATTAACATCTATCAAGAAAATCAATTTGTTTAGTTCAAAAATTTTCTCAAGTACTTATTTAATAAGCACATTTTCTCTACTCCTTTCTATGTTTTGCTAAAACTGAAGGACACAGTTGCTTTAGTACTGGAGCTTTCATGAAAACTTGAGGATTATAATTCAAGTAAAATTTTCAGAATGCTAGCTTTTACGACGTCACATCTCTCATTCTATTCTTCTGATTCTTATTGGATTAGTGCTTTAGGATACGTTAACCCCGTGTATTTATCAGAGCTGGAATAATCACTTAGTATAGGCCAGTTGCAATTAATCAGATCATTGGATGCATAAAATTGGACTCCATATCTTAGCTCGGGCTTCTATTAATATTTCTGAATTGGACTTCAAACAGGTACAGGATCAAGTGGATAAAGTCGAATTTTCCGGACCATTGCTGTCTCAAACACAAACAGTTGAAGAGCTCCTTGAGAAACATGAGCGTCAGATCCGCCAGGCTGTTCGACAATCATGGTTCCAAAGAGGATTAAAAGTTCACCAAATGTTTGCAACATAGGAAATCAAAGATCAATTATCTACCCTGTAAATTAGTAAGGTGCGCTAAAACTACAACCCTGAACATTCAACCTTGTATCACTGCCAGATTTTTAGACCTCTTTATTTGTACAATAGAGTTTACCTTTTACTTACTTCGTTTATGTCTGAAAGTTGATAAAGATCTGACAGCAAAACGGACTACTTATATCTTATTTCCATTTAACTGCTACCTGGTTGTTAACACTTATATAGATGTCCATATATTACCATCCGGATATATTCTTGCAAGTTTATGGAATTCGTTATTTACCAAATAGGCAGAAGTCTAGACTCCCTGTATATTACCAGAAATCAGTTTATCTTTGATCAGGCTTTATTGGCCAAATAGCTGATGGAAAAATGACACTGTAAAAATAATAGGAAAAATGTATAAAATTTGTATATTTTTTTGTATATATATACATTATGTATGTTATATACAAGTTTTATACACTTTTTCAGCAATCAGATGTAAATAGTTTATGACGCGAGCTAAAAGTGATAATACCCCAATAGCTGATTGAGTACCGTTTGTTTTCAGTTAGGAAAAATAGAAGGTGATTGCTGCTGCAGCGCTCCCATTTCACAGGCTATGGAAAGCAATCAGCCATAGGAATTTTGATAACCAAATCGATACAGAAATGACTGCAACACTTTGAAAGCTTGTAAGGCTAAAGCTATCAAAGTCTTTTTCCTTCCACTTGAATTGAAGAATGAAGGGAGGAAATCAATTGCTGTCTTCTCCTGCTAACTGATAGGGAAATCCTTACTCAAGCTCAAGCGAAAAGGCATGAACTCCATCTTCATCTCAATTCCCTGCAAAGGTGAGTGTCTAATGACAGCTGAGAACCAGTTCTCTTTAGGAGCTCTGTTGCAAGCTCATTTTTTGTGTTTTCAACGGCCAATACACACACACAAACACATTGTTCCTCAGTACTGCCTCTTAATATCTTCTCCAGTCTTTCATTCTGAGTGTTTTTCTTCAGCAATGTATAGTTCCATTCAATGGTTGAGACACCCTTTAGTAAGGGGAATCATCTGACACCGCTTCTCAAGAAAAGAAAATTTCCTTATATATGTATAACAACATACCGAGTGTATTCCCATAAGTGAGGTGTGGGGAAGCAGTGGCGAAGCCACATTGTCACAAGTGTAGTTAACGGACCACCCTTCGTCGAAAAATTGCACTGTGTATATAGGTAAAATATTACGTTTTAGATGTATATAACACATATTGAACACCCTTTGTCGGGAATTTTTTTTCACTTCTTTCAAATTTGAATACCCTTGGGAAAATTCCTAGCTTCGTCACTGTGGGAAGGATAGTATGTACAGAGACTTTACCTCTATCTTGTGAAGGTGGAGAGGCTTCCAGAAGACCCTCAGCTCAATAAAAACAAAATCACATCAGTTGTGACAATGAACTACGGAAAGAGAAATAATAAAAATAACCAGAAAAAATAAAATCGAAGCAAAGGAAACATCAAGTAATAATGGCGATCTAAAAATAGGGAACACGAGGATAACACTTGTACTACAATTATGAAAGGAAGTACATGTTTGGAAAAGAAATACGCTCGACTACTTACTAACCTACTATCTTAATCCTCGACCTCTACATCCTCCTATCAAGGGACATATCCTCGGTAAGCTGAAAATTTTCTCATATATGTGAGTGTACAAAATAGTTTTCTAAAAATTATTTAGAACATATACAACTGACCATCAACACTTGAACATAATACAAAGTAAATATCAATTTGTGATAGGAAGTAAAGCCTTAAAATTGTCATACTCTTAACTCAGTTACTAGCCGAATAGGCCATATGGCTACACAAAATTATGTGTACGTCATTGTTCATAGTATAGTGAATGGATCACTATACACAAAGTTGAATCATTAGAATACTGCGGTTAAAGATAATCATAATAGTCTTCTTATAGTCAGTGCAGTTATATGCTATATTCATATAATAAGATATAGGTCTTTTAACTTGTGTAGGCAAAATTTTACTAGGTCCAGTCTATACAAAATTTTAGTTAAGTCTTAAATTGAAGAGAAATTAGCCCAGGCATGATTGTGGTTGAACAAAATTGGATAAGTTCGTCAAGTAAACTTAGTAAAAGAGAAACTACTAGCTATGTTTATTTATAAATAACTTATTACAAAAATTGACCAATTCATAAAATATTACTAATATTAGCCAAATATTATCAATATTAGTCAATTAGTTTTTTTTTTGGGTGGGTGTTATTAAAATAGATTGGATAGAGCTTGAATCTCAATTTTGGGATAATTTGGTGGAGTTTTGAGGTGGTTTGAATTGAAAATTCGAAGTAGAAGATGAACATGAAAATTAATGATGTGTATCACACTATGTATTATTTGTGTATCACATATATATCATATTTATATGGCAAAATACATAAATTACCCTCTGAACTATGGACCTAATCACTATTACACACTTTTTACGTACGAAAATAACCTTACACACTCAACATTTCCAGAATGTGCCTAAGACACACCCCTTTGTCTACGTGTAAGGTGCGTGTTTTACAAACAAAATAAAGCGTCTCAACAGTAAAAAGCTGTATATCTAAGGCTTTATTTGAAAGGTTCATATTTAACAAAACTTATCCAACAGTTAAATAGATTTTTTTTTTTGTCCCTTTCTAATATCATCCTTTTTTTTCTAAAGTAATGTGGTTCAAATTGAAGATAATAGATGTTTACTATCTATTTTCTCCACTTTCAATGAAGAAATCTGTTCAAATTGTAACAGGTGAAAAAATCGATTTAAGAAGAAATTATAAACAATGTAGAAGAATCTGTAATGAAATCTTCAAGTGAGATTGGAAAAACAATGTAAAAGAATCTTCTTCTTTTTTTTCCCTTTTCAATGGGGTAGCCATGAAGAAATCCACTTATTATATCTCAAAAAGTTTCAGAAAAAATACATTAGAAGGTAAGAGTAATTGATTAGGGCTTCTACTTTTTTTTTTTGAATTGTAAGATGGAGGTTTGGGTTCTTTTGGTGCTCGACGGCAATGGAGATAACGAGAAGGTTGTGGAAGGTGAGTAATGATGGTGGAACGGTGAAAACTGGGTTATGTTTTTAGTCTATTCATGATTTTTTCTTGGATATGTGTATGTTAATGGAGAAAGAGGATTGTTGATGAAGGAGTAGTGATGGTGGGACTGTGATGGCAGGATGAAGGAGATGGGTCCCTTTTTATTTTTGCTGGGTTTGTTTTTCTTTTTATTTTTTATTTTTTTAAGTCAATGTCACGTGTTGCTGTATGACTGATGCGTGATATTACACATATTTTAAAAAACTGATCAAGAAAAAAGTCGTGTGTCTTAGGGACACTTTAGAAAGGTTGAGTGTGCAAGGTAATTTTCGTCCGTAAAAAGTGTGTAATAGGAATTTGGTCCATAGTTGAGGGGGTAACCTATGTATTTTGCCTATTTATATCAAATGTGTATCACATGCACATCCATGTATACCTGTGTGTGAGATACATACGTGATATATGTATCGCAAAATAATATTTTGAACTCGATTTTAACTACGAATTTTGATACCAAATCAGTCAAAATCACCTCCAATCTTCCTAAAATTTTGTATATTGACTCATCTATATATTTTTCAATGAATTTCAACCATACCCATTGAAACTGAATTTTTAATCTATTAGGGCTCTCTTTCCTGACGGAAAGGAAAAAGATTCCTAAAAAGAATAAATCTCTTTCATATACCGTATTCTTTTTTTAGATGAGAAGTGTTGTACTTCTATAAATTGACGTTTTCTTCTCACAACAAGAACAACCTCCACAATGTAGTCTTTACGAAAATCATGTTTGGGGAGATTGTTCTCTCAAAACTTTTATTCCCTTTTTATATTAATTAGTGATAGATCATATATAAATCGATTGACCAAAACATAATAAATTATTATGCCTAGTTTAGTATATTTATATTTTATAATTTGATTTATCGTCCATCAAGCTTTGCACTGTTAGCTTCCGCATACGCCATATTAATTCGATCTCAACAAGTGGTATCAGAGCCAATGGTTCGAAGTGAGATCGAAGACAGATTCAGGCAGGTTCAAATCAAGCCGCAACTAATTTGATGATAGTGAATATTTATCCAAAAAGTTTGAATGTGATGCTTGTCACACCTCCTTTTTTCGGAAAAAAGGAAGTTTTTCCAATTAAAGTGACATTATTAGAAATGAGATTATTTATTTAATTAGAGTCGCCACTTGGGATAATTATGATGGTGTCCCTATTCATCGATTTATTTTAAAATCCTAAATCGAGGAAATTGACTCTATTTATGGTCCGCGAACACAGAAGATCGGGTAAGAAATTCTGTTAACCCGTGAGAAGGTATTAGGCATTCCCGTATTTTATGATTTTAGCACGGTCGCTTTAATCATACCTGTCTTAATTAATTGTTTAAAGAACCTACATATATTGTACCTTTTATCGCTTTTAATTATGGCGTTATAGATTTATCTATGAAACGGATCACGTGTGTGTATATCCGTTGTGTTTGAGTAGCGAGAATAAAAGTATTCGTCATCCCAATCGGAGAACATTAGTGTTTTACAAAGGGTCAAACATAGTACCTTTTGACTGCATCCGCATTGACATTTGTTTCAAGGATATTTCCTTCGATGCTTCCCAGGTACAACGCTCTCTTTTGGCAGTACTCTCGTTTTAATGTATGGACCTTTCCAATTTGGAGCCAATTTTCCTTTAGCCTTTTCATGAGGTGGGAGGATACGTCTCATTATAAGTTGTCCTATTTCAAATTTCCTGGGCCGTACTTTTTTGTTGTAGACGTTGTCCATTCTTTGTTGGTATAACTGCCCGTGGCAAATTGCGGCCAATCGTTTTTCATCAATCAGTGTCAATTGTTCCAATCGGTTCTTGACCCAATCATTATCCTCAATCTCGGCTTCAACAATGATCCGAAGAGAGGGAATCTCAACTTTGTTCCAATTTTCTATTTATTTTCTTATAAGCCTTCTCTTGAAAACGTTATGTTTCTTGATTCATTATTTCGGGGTCTGACAGCGTTTTAGGATCTCGGCATGAAGTCCGCAAGCATGTCATGTCATTATAATCTGCATTAACATAACTAAAAAAAGAATAAGAGAAGTGACAAAGTCAATAAAAGAGACATGGACGATGAAATATTGATTTTATTTATTTAAATTTTAAAGATAGAAGGGTTTACATTGGAAAGTACAACAACATCAACCCAGTAGTAATCCCACTAGTGGAGTTTGGGGAAGGTAGAGTGTACACAGACCTTACCTCTACCCGGGGGTAGAGAGGCTATTTTCGGGAGACCTTCGGCTCATAGACAAAAGATCTGTAACAGCACAGAAACCAGAAAAATAGAATCAGCATCGTAAGAGACAACAAATAAGTGAAAGGGCAATAAGTATGTCAATAATAAAATTGAAAAATAAATTATGAAAATAAAAATCGTGTGATGAACAAAAACTGCTAGCAGACCTAGACCAAACTCTATCAGACTAGCCGGAAAAATGCTCAACTACCCCCTAACCTACAACTCTAATGCTAGACCTCCACACTTCCCTATCCAGGGCTATGTCCTCGGAAATCTGAAGTTGCGACATGTCTTGCCTGATCACCTCGCCTCAATACTTCTTAGGTCGCCCTCTACCTCTTCTCGTACCTGTCAAAGTCAACCGTTCACACCTCCTAACCGGGGCCTCTAGGCTCCTCCTCCGCATGTGCCCAAACTATCTAAGCCTCGCTTTCCGTATCTTGACGTCCATGGGAGCCATGCCCACCCTCCCGAATATCTTCATTCTTAATCTTATCCAGCCTAGTATGCCCACACATCCATCTCAACATCGTTATTTCGGCTACTTTCATCTTCTGGATATGAGAATTCAGAAGACAATAAAAGTAAAACATCCGGATTACACCCTAAAATAATCTGGACGCAGAAAGGATAGCAAGACCGGCTATCAAGACTCCCATCTGACAAGGAACTTTTAAGTTTGGCGACAGGTTTTTGGCTT